ACAAATGACGCTTCAGTCGGCGGAGGCACTCTCAAGAAATCCAAGAAGAAATCCAAAGGCACCAGTGCCGCAACATGGACAGCCGTAGGCGTCGCCGCGCCCTCACACGCCGAACAACTTGCTGCCGACGCTGCCGCCGCAGATGCAATCATAGCAGGGACCGCCGCCGATCGCGAGAAGGCCGCTGAAGCGGAGGATGAAGCGCCGGAGATGGTAGACACAGACGGTGTCATGAGGATGGAGTCGGGCGCCAAAGCAGGTCTACAAAGCGCTGCCGAGGTCGCAGCAGCCATGAAGAAGAAACAAGACGAGGAGAAGCGCAAAGCCGAAGAGGCCGCAAAGGAAATGGGGAGCGCTGCGCAGGAGACCATCTACCGAGACGCCAGCGGTCGCATAATCAACGTCGCAATGAAGCGCGCAGAAGCACGGAAGAAAGCCGAAGAAGAAGAACGCAAGAAGCGCGAGAAGGAGAAGGCAGCGCGCGGAGACGTACAAAACGCAGATGCAGAGCGCAGGAAACAACAGCTACAGGACGCGAAGACAATGACGATCGCCCGATACGCAGACGACGCGGAGCTCAACGACGAGCTGAAGGAGCGAGGGCATTGGAACGACCCTGCGTCAGGCTTCTTGCGCAAGAAGAAGGCTGGACGCAGCATTACAGGCAAGCCTCTATACCAAGGACCGTTTCAACCCAACCGGTACAACATTCGCCCAGGACATCGATGGGACGGTATCGATCGAGGAAACGGGTTCGAGAAACAGTGGTTTGATTCGAGGAATAGGAAAGCCAACATTGAGAAGCTGGAATATCAGTGGCAGATGGACGAGTAGAGTTCTGGGGTTGTCAACCCACTCTCATAAGAAGCTGGGATGTATATCATTTGCATAGCGAGGCGTTTGGGTACATGACACACAATACGACGGCCATAGGAGACTGAACAACCGCTACTATCGCAAAACTATGTCCATCCTGCAAAAATATTTGGCTGACGAGACACCGAGGAAGGAGCGATACGCACAACCTGATCCGGACAAATCGGCAAAAAGAAGGTCAAGAACATACAACAGCGGGGATTCGCTTCTGGTCACCCACGAAGCTACTAGCCTGCCGGTATCTTGCTTGTATATGGCTGAGCGGACGGGAAGCCTAATTCTCAAGATCCTATGGTCGTATGTGAAAGAATTGCAAACTAAAATGGGATATAACCTCGATATGATTACGATCGCTCATGCAAACTACTTCGGTAAGGTCTACTGGCTCTCCCGTCACAGGGGCACTACGTTCGTATTCACCAAATGACGATACAAGTATAAGCCACTTCACTTCACGGTCCATCTGTCACCACGGCAGGGAGCGTCAAGAGACTCTTGTCGTGTCATTTTCGATGATGTTGTCCTTGACATAGATCCCCACACTCGACTCAGATACGAAACCTTGGTCTGTAAAGGCAAGATGGGCACTGTTGCACATGGGGGGCTTTTACTAGACATATGCTTGCATACTCTGATCAAACTACAAGAGAATAATTTCTCATAGCTTTCCGAACAGGCATGTCATGCATTCATTCAAGGTGCATACCTAGGTAGTGTTGTCTTCCCGACGTAGCCTACACTCATTATGCAATTATTCTCCACCGTCGCCTGCACTGCTATTATGTCTACCATGTCCGGCCTCGCCCATCTCAGCGCGATCCTCACTCGTCGTCCGACGGCGAGCACCAGTACTGACTGAGTGACCCGGCTTGGGGTGTTCGTGGTGGTCAACCAGAGGGAAGTGCAGACCAGGCTTGCTCGCCAACGCATCCCTAATCTCGTCTACACTTTTCGCCGCCCATCCTGCACTTCCCAGAGTACTCAAGGGATAGAGAAGCTGATTGTCCTGGTGCATTACCATTTCCTCAATGCTCGGAGGCGATTTGCTCATGATGATATCGATGTCCTTCCTGATTTGTAGGCAGAATGCGTCCAGGGGCAAGTCGTTCACATCATTACCGAACGGGTTCTCGATTTCGCGGCCGATGAGCGCAATGCCTAGGATGATGTAGGCTGCAAAGACGCTCGCTGGAATTGTAATGTATCCTAAGAGCTTGTATAGTTGAAATGGAAGGAGGAGGATATACACCCAAGTGATTTGACTAATGGCGATGCTGTATGCGAGAGGTAGCGGGGTCGACAGAATGCGCTCAGTACCCGCGAGCACATCGTTGAAGGTGGTGAGTGCATTGAGGGACTGCGTCTGGTAGATGGAAACTTTGAAGGTTCCGTTGTCATAGATTGACTTCATGTAGACGCTCAAATGGTTGAGAATCTCCAACGGAAGGTTGCCAAGGGGGGCACGAGAGCGTTTCAGCAGCTTGCGCGGGTTCGATTCAGCCATTGGCAGCCCAAGGAACTGTCCTGCTGTCTTGAAGATGCTTGGCTTCTTGTGCGCGTCTGGTTGGTCGGCGTCGCGCGCAAAGGTGTCTAGGTGACCGACCAGGTGCTTCAAGTCGTCGTAATGCATGTGAGGCTCAAATCGGAGCTTGTGCTTGAGTGCGACTGCGTACGCAGTGATCAAGTTGAGGCAGTTGATCTTGGCGAGTAGGTCTTGTTTGCCGAGCGTGGCGTCCTTCTCGTGACGTTCATCGACGTGTATCCAGATGAGGCGAGCAAGATTTTGGGACGCGAAAGTGAGTTGTGCCCAGTATTTGCGGCCATCGTTGTAGCGCTCGTAGGCGGTGGAACTTCTAAAGCTCAATGCGAGACCGACGACGAAACCAAGTACAGTAAGCAAAAGCTGGTTTACGCTGACTGGAGGTGGTCAATACACGTTGGATGGAAACAGAACAAGAGCTTAGCGTACGGTCATGTACAAACTTCGAGATCAAAGTTATCATGCTCGACCAGCCGGCTACAAAGAGCAAGGGCAGCACCATTTCAGGTGTTACACTGCCATGAACGCGGAGAAATACAGGCCACTGCAGAGGTAGAGGTACGAAGTCAGTATATGTCTCACATGACCTTCGCACAGTCAGAACTTACCTTGGAGTGATGATCAAGATCGCGCGGTCCAATCTAGTCAGCATTAGTGACTGTACGAGTCGTTATAGAGAAAGACTTGCAAAGTAGTCGTCGAAGTCTTTATCGCTTTCTTGCTTCTTCAGTGGCGGCCGTGTCGACGAGCCATTGGTGTCATTCGACACATTTGCCGTGCTTTGCATCTTCTCCGCCATCAAAACGTATCGTCAACTGCGAGAAAGAAAGGTCTGGAGATTGAGCTTCGTCACTCCTTGGTGTCAGGTTTTAGGCACGCGAGCACCTTATACCGTGTCGCGTGCCCCTATTCTTAACTCTCTCTTCTGCGTCATATCGGCCAATAGAAGTCTGTAGCCCAGACCTGGCGTTTGAGAAACCCTCGGAAGGCGCTGCGTGTCTAATGAAACAGTGATGGCGATGCTGTAAAGGGCAAGGCTGCGATAGGCGACTCCAATCGAATGCATACCCGTGGCGGGAGTGGTACCTTGGTAGAGCGTAGCCTCCGACTCACATACCGCTCAGCTTGGCAGGGTCCCTTTGCGGGCTTACTAAATATGTAATACGGAGTGAGAAGCGTTGATGGGTTGTCGCTGTAGGTTGCTCTCCCATGGTGCGACTCTGAGTTACAATATGTCCAACATCGCGTCCAATGCGAGGCTACTGTACGTCAAAGCTGTCACAATCCTCTAGCTTTGTATGCGTCGTCTGGTGGTTTCTGGCTTTGAAGTTCGGTGTTATTCACCAGGTAATGAGCGCGTAGATTGGATCGCCGGCTAAGACAAACTGTAATTCGCCTAGAATTCAAGCCTCAGCTGGTCGAGATCTTGTTCAGCGGCTTGGCAGCGTTGGCACTGGCGGCGCTAGCAGGCCTCCCTACTGTTCACGAACCGCAACCCAGGTCCATTCTAATCAGGTCTTAGCCGTGTTTTCTGCGCGACGGTCTAAAGAAACTCCAAGAAAGTTTTATTCAGCCTGCAGATATTTCTACTATCAGCCAAGTTGAGTCCACTGTACCTTGAAGAGATCTTCAATAAAGTACGATCTTAACAACCAGCCCGAGCCAGGACCAGAGGCGCACTCTACTTTTCCAAAGAGATCTTCAGAGTCTGATGTGCCAGAATCACAAACTCAGACACGGTCGGGGCCTTTGCTTCTCGCTGCCGTGCCGTCTGGTATCACAGTTAACTCCAGGGACTGTAGACCAACACTACTTCAGTATCGGCAAACACCGTCTCTTTTCGCATCTTTGGTCCATGTGCTGAATGAATCAATGTTTGGAAAGAGCACATGCGTGTGCGCATCTGAGTAAAACCATGTGCATGTGCAGCTTGATTTCGGCAGGCTCTTCCTCCTCTTGATCTTCATATTCTTCTCCTCCGCCTTCATTGCCCTCGTTCGTGCCAATTCGGGGGAAGGCTTTCTCGGCAAGGTCAAGCTATGCCGCCTCTCCAAGTGCTAGATCGCCTTTTTCCTTGAAATACTGCAGCTGCTTCTCTCCCGCCAGGCCCTCGTCTCCTAGACACCCATCAAATGCCCGCGCATCTATGAGTTCGCAGTATTCATATCTCGGAGAGCCTCCCACAACATTCTGCAAGATGGTCTTTCGTCCTTCTATTGCTTCCTGATAATGCATCCACGCGGTGAACAATTGCTGTGCATCAGTCGCATCGTCGCTACGACAGTGGCCGCGGTGGATGACGAACCCTCACTTGGGGTGATGGCGAAGTTACCTAGGTATCTAAGAATTCGAAGTGAGGTCTTTGCAGTCCTCTTGACGTGTTCCGAGGTTCTGGTCTGTGGGTTACCTCATGAGTGAGCTGGGATACATTGGCAGTCAGTTGGTGTCTGTGATCGTGGGCAATGCTGAGAGCGGCACCTGGGCAGTCAGGCCGATCACATGACGTCGCGACTTCTTTTTGTCCCGCTCGTGCAGTTCCGACATCCCACTCGCGACAACGCGCCGGCGATGCGCCCCACCCTCCATGTCCCTCTCCAAGCATGCAAAGACGTACTTGGCGAACCAGTCGAAGTACAGACACTTCAACGCGTTCAATTCCCTCGTCGAAGCGTCCATTCTCCAAAGCAGCGATGCCTCCAAATCCCGTACCCTCCGCCGCCAACCCGACAGCGTCGCCGACAAGCCAATCGCAATAAAGGACAACATCTGCACGAAGAAACTAAAGACTACTGCTTCCTCCGGGATACTCAAAGACTTTAGCAGCCCATATGACGCGACGGTGGTGAAGCTGCTACAAGATGAAGGTGCCGTGGTGGTAGGCAAGACGAACATGGACGAATTCGGCATGGGATCGCACTCGACACATTCACACTTCGGACCAGTGAAGATGCAGAGATACAAAGGAGAGGATGCAAGTGCGGGTGGAAGCTCAGGTGGAAGCGCGCTTGCTGTCGCGTCGTCGCAATGTTGGGCGTAAGTGTTTGACAGCCGACGAGGACGGAGTATGTGTGCTGAGACGAGCAGCGCGTTAGGTACCGATACTGGGGGGTCGGTACGGCTTCCTGCTGCATATACCGGGGTCGTTGGGTTCAAGCCGAGCTACGGACTGCTGTCGAGATGGGGCGTGATTGCCTATGCGAACTCTCTGGATACTGTCGGGATCTTTGGCAAGAACGTGGCGAGTGTGAAGAGCATTTTCTGTGAGTCTATAGAGATGTAGACCATGATTTCCACATCTCTGACTGAGTCCAGCCAAGGTCAACATCCACGATGCGCAGGATCCGACGTCCGTTCCCAACACAACCCGAGCAAAATTCCGTACAGGGAAGCGACCAACTTCGTTGAAGATAGGCATTCCTCTTGATTACAACATCGACACATTGCAGCCCGCTGTCCGAAAGGCATGGATTGACCAACTCAGACATCTGTGGAATGCTGGTCATACTTTGCACCCTATTCGGTTACCCACAACACAACAAGCACTATCAGCCTACTACGTCCTTGCGCCAGCCGAGGCATCGAGCAACCTCGCAAAGTACGATGGCGTGCGTTTCGGAAGTAGAGCCGAGGGCATCGATGGTACACCAGAAAGTGTGCTCTTTGCTAAAACCCGGGGTCAAGGTTTCGGTCCGGAGGTTCAGCGGCGTATACTCCTTGGAGCCTTTTCACTAAGCGCCCAGGCTATCGACAACTACTTCATACAAGCACAAAAGATTCGGAGGCTCGTACAACAAGATTTCAACGGGGTGTTTGCCAGTCCAAACCCGTTGCTCGATGCCGAAGAAACCGTGGCAGAAACAGAAGGAGTGGACGTGATCATATGCCCCACAGCTCCATCAACGGCACCGTCTTTGGCTGAAGTCGAGGATCAGGATCCAGTCCACTCCTACATGAACGATGTCTTCACCGTACCAGCTAGTCTTGCCGGGCTGCCAGCAATCACTCTTCCCACATTTACTCCTTACAAGGAAAAGAGCCAGAGTTCGACGGTCCCGGATTCATTCTTCAATTCTGTAGGACTGCAGATCATTGGTCAATACGGAGATGACGAACTCGTTCTGTATGCTGCAGAACAGATGGAGATTTTCAGAAGTACTCCGCAGCCCAATGGCAGACCGGAAACAACCGCATGGGGCGGTGGTCTTGAATGGCTTGTGGACGAATTCCTTCAAGCGCTAGGGCCCAGACGTCTTGACGCCGGTGCTGCTATGTGTGAGATGAGCCGAACAGCGTATGTGGCCACTTTCGCTGATAAGAAGAATCCGCTTGCTGCTGAGAGGAAACAGTTTGAGGCGGTTCAATACATTCGGGGAATATGGGGTCATGTGTATGACGAAGGTCGGATATAGAAGGCAAATTGATCTATCAGCCGCACGAGGGTGAATGAGTTGCCTAGATGCATGTGAGTTTCAAAGATGTAAAAGCATTTGCTCTGATACGTTCACCACCCAGTCACCACCAGTGTGTCTAATACGTAAGACCTCTCTTCTCTCTGGAGATGTCATGTCAAATGACAGAGACCATCGTTTCCATCGAGATCCTCAAAAGTGTCACTCACTCACTCAAGCACTATTGGGACTCCCAACTATAGCTCGATATTACGTACGCTCTCGCCTCACTCCAAAGACAACACATGCCTGATCCACCTCACTTACGCCGTCAATACCAGAAGTCTCGCGCTCAACATGAGCGTCAACTTCCTTGTGCGGTCCTTTGAGGACGTCAAGTCCGAACGTATCAAGGGGCGCGGTCGATGTACCGCTGGTAAGACTACCATATCATTGTATGGGCTTGGTGACAAGACATGTGGAGCCGTCCTCTGCGTGGAGGTTTGCTAGAAGATCCTAGTCACCTGGTATGTGCAACAAAGTCTGAGCGAACCGCGGCTGCCGCTCTTATGTTGATATGTTATTGCTTTCCAAGAGTTGTTGGGACCGGGTGGGTGTTTGGCATGGAGTCCACTGGCGTTAGGGGGATGACATACTTAGCAGCTACAACTCACCATGTACCGCCGCAGCCGCCATCAACTCCCGAGGTCACACGCCAACGAATTGGAAACTACGTCATATATGGGGAGTGGCTAATTGCTTAGATGCTGTTGAGTGTAGTCAAAAGATACATCTTATGATGTACCATGTCACTTGTCGTTTTCCAGGGTCCCAAGGTTTGCCTAGGTACCTAGGTAAAGTGAAATGCGAGGCTTCTCCCCACGTGTTGCCCACTAGCTGCATCATAGCTCCACTGACGGACCGTCGCGATTGGCTTCTCGGCCATACTACATTGAGCGCTACCCATCGATGCATCATCAGATCACGCGCTTGAACTTGGTGTAGATCTAGATTCTTGACTTCGGTCGCGCGTCCTTCCAGGCATATTCACATGCATGTAATTGACAGCAAAGATCCCACTGAAACAGGACACAGTTAGGAACTCGCTATTCGAGTTGTATGCACCGTACTATGATTCACATGAACATACCGCGAACTGCCAAGTCCGCAATCAGATAGTGCCCAGAAGCGGGGAATGCGCATGCAGTGCCACCACTCGAATCTGATGCAGCCAGTGGACGTTTGAGACGTAAGCACTGGATTAGGGGTCACCAACATCATCCCACGTTGGTGGTGCTGTGCCCGTGCCGTCCCATGGCTCTCAAGGCTCCAGAGCAGCGGGTCGTACCTAGGTACAAGCGATCTGCATGATGTCTCACACGTGCAGTGCGTCAACTCAAGCGCTAGAATACGGTGAGGAAGTCAAGGCCGAGGCGTCCTCTTTGTCAGTGGTCAGGCTATAGCTTCGAGCAGAGCGAAGGTGCCGTGGAGCCCGATGCACTGATACGGTTGCAGCGGCAAGTGACTCCATAGCCAATACCGTCGAGAGATGCTCGTATCAGCTTGAAGGCTGACGAAGGCTCCTCTGCAACCGGCCCGGTTGAGTATACCGGTAAGTGCGGCATATATGCGAGAGGCAGCCTAGAGCGGTACGTCTCAGCACGTAGCACACCCAGTGGGTGAGCTATCCAGCCATTCACCGGTGTTCCTCGACCAACCAGATGGTCTTCCCCTCCAAGCTGTCTGTTGTGTATGGTGTGAGACGAGCGTGGCGTACGCTTAACCGCGGGAATTCGAAGGGCGGTGGCTCTGATGGGGCGGTTAGCAGGTCGATATGTCACTCTCCATCGGACCCCACCGCCTCGCGCATGACCATTTCGAGTGACAGGGTCTCCACCGCGGCGTGGGTAGGGAGTCGTTACCAAGTCGCGGGCTGGTGGCCAGGTGCTCTATATAAGTGTCTGCCCTCAGCACCTTGATGGCTCATCACGCTCCAACACTTCCACAATCCAACCAACCAAACAATCCAACAACCCAACCAACCAATCAAAATGGCCCCCTGGTACGTCTTCCGACCGACTTTGGTGTTTGACACACGGTGGTGTGCTGCTGCTTCAGGGCTAGCGCCAGCACCGTGATGGACACTCTACTGGGAACATGGAGGGGCTCTGGCTAACAAACGAACAGCAACTGCTCCTCCTGCAAGTGCGCTGGTGACTGCTCCAGCTGCGGATGCGGATCCTGCTCCGTAAGTACATCTCGAGATATACCGACGCGGTGTCTTCCTTTCGGTCTGGAATGGCACTAACAATCCGAATAGCACTAAGCGTCAAGCTACCCTGAGCCTCGGAACTCTTCCAGCAACACTTCCATCGAGCGATTCGGAGATGGAACAATGAACACTGTTGGAAATCGGGGTGAACTGCCAATACCAAGGGCCATGACTGCTGGGAAATATTAGATGAGATATGATCATGAAATAAGGACACTCACTTGAAAACCATGTCTCCCCACGTGCTGTGAACATGTCAATGGATCTGCTTGATTTCTGAACTTACCTACTGCGGATGAAGCATCGATATTGACGCACCACAACAACACACCGAGAGGCAGGATATGCGGCGAAAAGGTGGAGACTCCAGCAATCTGTCGACTACCTTTTTCCCGGTCATGGTCTTGGCCAGCACATGTGTCGTTTTAACCGGTGTATAGTAGATCACTTGACGGGAATCGATGGGGTTCGTATCAGGGAGGAATGTAAAAACTATGTTCATACAACAAGTCAAGGTAATCATCAAGCGCTCCAACTACTTCAGATATCAAGATGTTGACGAATGTCATCACCAAGCCTCCACTCCTCATCCTTCGCCATACGATCGAGAGGGCTTTGCATGTCGTCCTCGTCACTTCTACGCGTACCACTTGTACCCGTGTCGCTGACGACTGTCACGCCACTCACACTACCGCTTGTACTCTTGCTCCGCCTCTTCTTAAACCAACTCCGTTTACTCTTTGTGCTCGCTGCATCTGTATCCGACGCTATCGATGCGGCATACTCGCGTCCATCACCCTCGACTAGAGTAGGGTCTGTACTGGATGCTACACTGAGATTGGAGGACAGCTTTGTAAGTTGATTAGGATCAAGGTCTCCGGAAGTATCAATTGGGCCAGGTTTGGGCGTGGGCATAGGCGTTGTATCTGTGGATGATGTCGATTCGACGAGCTCGGCGTCGCGATACCATTTTCGACGGCGGGTGTAACGCCCCCAACCATCTTGGCCTCTTCGTCCGTCTCTCCACTGTTGAAGTTAGAATCAGAACGTTGTACCAATTCACTCTACTTACTTTATTGTCGTAGTATATCCACGCCGAATCCTCCTTGGACGCGCCTTTGTCAGCCTTGCTGTCTTTCTCCGCGCCTTCAACCTTCCATTCACTGCCTTGCACCCACCGCCATCTCGACTGACCTCCTTCAACTTCAGGTAGTTCGAACTGTTCTTTAGGTGGAACCGGGTTCAGGTGCTCATCCGTCCAAGATGCTCGCTCGTAAGCAAGCATAGAGGATGTCCATCCGATACCTAGCCATCTTCGCTGGTTCTCATAGATGGAGAAGGTGAAGCGTACGCCTGTAGATTCGGGCCGACGCTTAGCCGCCAATGAAGCTGCAACCTCCTGCGTGCTCTTCTTTCGAGGTGGCAGAGGAGGCGCACCCTTCCTATCTACTGACACGATTTCGCCAAAGTCTAGTCCGGTTATGAAGGCGCAGGTACGTCGGACTGTTCTTGATCTCCATAGGAGGGTTCGGGTTACGCGGGCTGGCCGTGAATGCCAGCTCAGCATCACTGTGCCTACTGCTAGTACCACTCGCTTCGTAGTCAGGATATAAAAGGGCGGTAGCGTGAGTGCTATCCATAGCGGCAACACGAAGAGGATTCGGATAAACAATACGGTGAGCGCCGGACGTGTAGTAGCCGACGTCGCAGTCCTCTGCGTGGATAAGAAGTCTGTGAGGCGTAGAAAGGGATCTAGTAGGATGTTGCAGCGCGAAGTGAAGAGCTTCAGACTGTCCACAATCTCTTCCAGGCTTTTGTGATGCTTGATGTTGGTGTCCGACTCAACGCGCTTGTGCGCCTTCTGTCCCTTCTCGCCTGTCCACCCGGTCGATGACAGTGGAGAATACCTTCGCGTGTACATGCCCAGTATCAGCCCAGACACGACGATAATGGGCCCTGCGTATCTTGTCACGGCATCACCGTACATGACGACGGCCCAGAAGCTTGCAACTAGGAGAAAGCTCTCCCATGGGTCTCCGGTCGTCCATGTCACCAGCCCAGCAAACTTGTTCAGAGGTAGTATGAAGGGGTGCGAATAAGCGAGCACGCGAGTGATCTGTGGTGGTGTAGCCGCAAGTAGGGGCGACTTCTGGTGCACGAGTATGGCGGAGCGCAGTTTTGTTTGCGGTGTCGTCTGGGCTAGGTTGGCGGGAGAGAAGCTGGCATACGTCGGGTTGGAATTCGAATCACCGGTTGGCGGCGGGGACGACGCATCGTTGCTGGACCTCGAAGGGGTGGACATGTGCTGTATCCAGGGTGTTTCTATGTGGGCATGAGCATGTTGTTTGCGCAACTCGGTTTTACTTGAGTGTGGTTGCAAGTTTGGAAGTTACCAACCTAGTGCTGCCATGCATGGGGTTGTGCGTCATCGCCTGGCTGAGCAGTGGAGGCTGAGTGCCGCGCTCTTGTCAAGCCACGCTCAATTGTTATACAGGAAGGAAGCCTGCAGCGATGCACAACTGAAGCTCGAGAGATGTTGGAAACTGTCATGCAAAGTCGCACATGACGTTGTCGCCGGGAGTGATGCGGGGATCTTTGAGCATGTGAATGTCTTAGTCCGAGGGCGACTTGCGGAAGCCTCAAGGTGCCTCCCCCGGCGCCAATATCCAGAAGCACTCTGAACGAAGGGCGCACACGGGATGCATCACCGTCATTACCATGTTTGACCGGACTGCACGACTATAGCCAT